CTTGCACTTGCAAAGCAGATGATGGAGCCACTGAGCTAAACCCTGGCCCTCCAACACCATGTATTAAAGAGGCTGTCTTTCCTCCAGTGAGGATGCTTGGCTCCTTTGTCAAAGATGAGGTAGCTGAGTATGTCAGGAGTTGTTTCTGCATCTTCTAATCTGTTCTACTGATCCACTGGTCTTTTTCTTTGCCAGTACCATGCTTTTTTTTTTTTTTTTTATCACAGTGGCTTTATAGTATAGTTTCAAGTTGGGGATTGCGATACCCCTGTCATGTCTCTGTTGCCTAGCATTGCTTTTGCTATTCTAGGTCTCACTGGTTCCAAATAAATTTTAGATTGTTTTCTCTAGTTCTTAGAAATATAGTATTGGGATTTCAATAGGGATTGAGTTGAATCTGTATAGCAGTTTTGGAAGTATGACTATTTTCACTATGCTGATTCTTACTACACAGGAACAAGGGATAGCTTTCCATTTTTTAATATCCTTTTTGATCTCTTTTTTTCAGAGTTGTAGTTCTCAATGTAGAGGTATTTTGTTTTCTTTGTTAGATTGATTCCTAGATATTTCAAGATTTATTTCATTTTTTGGGGGTGTTATTGTGAAAGCGATTATTTCCCTAACTTCAATCTTAGTGAGTGTTATTTGTGTACAAGAAAGGTGTTGATTTTTTATTGTTTACTTTGTATCCAGCTACTTTACTGAATCTGTCCATTAAAGTCTAGAAGTATTTTGGCAGTTTTTTGGGTCTTCTATGTAGACTCTTTGGGTCTTCTATCATATTGTCAACAAAATAATGGTAATTTAACTTCTTCCTTTCCTATCTTCATTGTTTTTATTTCTTTCTCATGTCTAATTGCTGTGGGTAATGTTTCCAAAACTATATTGAACAGGAGTGGGGATAGTGGATGTCCTTATCTTGTTCCTGATTTTAGCGTGAAGGTTTTCAGTTTTTGGCCTTTTAATATGATGTTGGCTGTTGGTTTTTCATAGATAGCTTTTATCGAGTTGAGATAAAGACTATCTATTCCAATTTTCTGCAGGTTTTTTTTTTTTTAATCATGAATGGTTGTTGAATTTTGTGGAATGCTTTTTCTGCATCTATTGAGATGATCATATGGTTTTTGTCCTTGACTCTGTTGATATAGTATGTTACATTTATTGATTTGCATATGTTGAACCATCCTCACTCCCTGGAATAAATCTGACTTGGTCAGGGTATATGATCTTCTTCATGACTCTCTGTATTTTGTTAGCCAGTATCTTATTGAGGATTTTTGCATCTATGTTCATTAGGGAGATTAACCTGTAGTTCTCTTTTTTGGTTGGGTCTTTCCCTGGTTTTGGAATCAAAATAACACTTGTTTCCAAGAATGCATTTGGGAGTATTGCTTCCCTTTCAATTTCATTGACAAGTTTAAAGAGTAGTGGCAATAGTTCTTCTCCCAATTGCATGAATTTGAGCCTTTTCTTTTCTTTCCTTTTTTTTTTTTTTTTTGGTCTTTCCCTGGTTTTGGATTTTATCGATTTATTTATTCTTTTGAAAAACCAACTCTTCAATTTGTTGAGTTTTTGTCGCGTTCTCTTAGTCTCCATTGCATTGATTTCTGCTCTGATCTTTATAATTTCTTCCCTTATATGAGCTTTGGGTTTCTCTTGTTCTTTTTTCTAGGAGCTTAGGATTCACCATTAGGTTTTTTATTTGAGCTCTCTCTGTTTTCCTATTATGAGCATTCACAGCTATGAATTTCCCACTTAAAACTGCATTCATTGTATCCCATAGATTCCTGTATGTTGTACTGGCATTATCATTAAATTGTAAAAACTGTCTAATTTCTTTAATTTTCTCTGTGACCCATTGGTTGTTCAGGAGAATGTTATTCAATTTCCATGTGTTTGTGAAGTTCTGTTGATCTCCAGTTTAATTGCACTATGGTCTGATAATATACATGGGATAACTTCAATTTCTTTACATTTACTTAGACATGTGCTATGAGCCAGCATGTGATCTATTTTGGAGAATGATCCTTGTGTAGCTGTAAAGAATGTATATTCTGATTTTGTGGGCTGGAACACTCTATAGACATCTGTTAAGTCCATTTGTTCAAAAGCTTGGTTCAGTTCTAGTATTTCATTGTTGATTTTTAGTTGAGATGATCTATTTGTGACAATGGGGTATTGAGGGCTCTCACTACAATTGTATTAGTGCTTATTTGGTGTTTCATATTCCTTAATATTTGTTTTGTATAGCTGGGGGCATTAGTGTTTGGTGCATATATATTTATGATTGTTATCTCTTCCTGTTGGATTGTTCCCTTTACAAGGATGTAGTGACCTTCTTTGTCTCTCTTAATTAGTTTTGGTTTGAAATTTACTTTGTCTGCAAATAAGATAGATACTCTTGCTTTTTTCCGGGTTCCTGTTGCATTGAGAACTATTTTCCATCTGTTCACTTTCAGTCTATAAGTTTCTTTTTCAAGTAGGTGTGTTTCTTGTATACAGCATATTGTTGGATTTTGCTTCTTCATCCATTCTGCCAGTCTTATTTGTTTTGATTGGTGAATTGAGGCCATTAACATGGATGGTTATAACTCATATGTATTAACTTATCATTATAATGTTATTTTCCTGTTGTTGGTTCTTTTTAATTTTTCTCCCTCTCCCTTTAAATTCTTGCCTATTGGATTTGCTCCATTGAACCGCATAGCGTTATAACCTTCATTGTGTTTTTCTAGGATATTTATGGGAATGTATCCTTTTTTTTTGGTATCGGGGATCGAACTTGGAACCTTGCAAAGCAGGCAGTGGAACCACTGAGCTAAATCCCTGGCCCTTTTTCTAGGATATTTAAAAAAATTATTTGGAGTGCTGGTTTGGTATTCATGAAGTTTCTGAGGTGTTCTTTGTCATGAAAGTATCTTATTTTTCCATCAATTTTGAAAGATAGTTTGCAGGATACATCGGCCTAGTTTGGAGGTTGTTTTCTTTTAAAGCTTGAAATACCTCACTCCAGGCTTTCCTGGCTTGAGGGTTTGTGTTGAAAAGTCTGTTGTGATTCTGATAGGCTTTACTTTGTACATGATTTGTTTCTTTTGTCTAACTGCTTGTAGTATTTTGTACTTGGATTTCTGGGATCTTGATTACTATATGTCTAGGTGTAGATTTTTTTTTTTCATAACTAGTTGGAGTCCTATATGCCTAACTTATCTGTATGTCAAGTTCTTTTGCTCTGGGAAGTTTTCTATCATTAATTTTGCGAACAGTTCTTTTTTTTTTTTTTTTTTTTTTGGAGTTTATTGGTACATTTTAGGTATTCAGTACAGTTACATTCATTATTGGGATCTTGTACCTTTACATGACAGGTCTTGGGTCTCATTTTTTCCCCTTATCCCTGCCCTCCCTTGAACCCCTCCTCCCCTCCCCATTTACAAACACTTTATTTCCATTTTTTCATTTTCTCATATTTTTTTCTTTTCCCTTATTTCCTTTCCCCTACCCTTCCCACTTTCCCTACACCTTTAGCCCTTTTCTTCCTATTTTACTTTGTCAATTATCTCATTAGAATCTTATGAACTATTATAGTTTTTCACACCAGAGAAACTATTAGGTGTTTACATATGTGTGACTTATTTATTTCACTTAGGAGTATATCCTCAATATGTATCCATTTTCCTATGAATGAATCTAATTTCTCTTTCTTTATGGCTGAGTAGTATTCCATTTTGTAGAAAAACCACATCTTTATCCAGTTTCCAACTGATGGACATGTCATTTGTGCTTTCTTCTGCTTTTTTGTGCACTCCTATCAATCTTATATTATTTTTCTTTGTGTCATCTAGGAGCTGTTGGATTGATTGCTCATGGTCCCTTACTATTTTTAAGAGATCTCTCTTTTCATGGTTACTGATCGCCATCCTGTGTTTATATCTGATATTCTGTCTTCAGATTGGGTTAGTCTGCTATGTATACTTTTAGTAGAGTTTTTAATCTCATGGATATCAGACAGATTAACTTCATTTGAGCAGTAGAGTAGTTAGACTGATGGTTTGGGTTAGTCAGCTTTCTGTGACCAAATACTTGAAAAAGCAGTTTAAATTGAGGAGAGACGTTAGCTCCTGGTTCAAAGATCTCTGAGTTCATGGTCTGCTGGCTTCATGATTTTGGGTCTGTGGCAGGCAGAGAGCATCATGGTGTGAGCACATGCCTGAAGTGGCCAGGGAAGCAAAAGAGGAAGAGGAAGGGAATGGGTCCTGACACCCTTTCAAGGGCACATCCCCAGTGACCCAGCTTCCTCCTACTGGACCCCCTACCTCCTTAAGATTTCATACATCCTTGTAGTGCCACAGGCTGAGGACCAACCTTTTAACACAGAGACACATGGGAACACTTAAGATCCAAACTGTAGCTAGGGGCAGTGGCTAATGCTTATAACCCTAGCTACTAAGGTGACTGAGGCTGGAGGGTCAGAAGTTGGATGAGCTGGGCAACTTAGCAAGACCCAGTTCCAAAATAAAAAGAGCCAGGGATATAGCTCAGTGGTAGAGTGTTTGCCTATCTATGTAAGGGGCCTGGGTTCTATCCCCAGTACCACCAAAATCAATCAATCAATCAATCCAAACCAATCATACCTATAACAACTGGAGGGAGAGAGAGGGAGAAAGGAAGGAAGGAAGGAAGGAGATTCAAACCACAACATGGTTTCTTAAGTGCAGCAATGGAAGCCTGAAGCCAATGGAATGATGTCTTCATTGTGCTGAATGTTAATAATTGCTGGCTTGTAACTTTATATTAGGCAAGATTATCTTTCAAGAATGAGGATGTAGCCAGTTGTGGTGGCACGCACCTGTAATCCCAGCACTCCACAGAGGCTGAGGCAGGAGGATCACCAAGAGTTTATGGCAAGCAGGGGCTACATAGTTAGTTCAAGGCCAGCCTCAACTACAGTGAGACCCTGACTCAAAAAAAAAAAAAAAAAAAAAAAAAAAAAAAGAATGAGGATGTTTCACTGATGTAAATTCCAGTAGATCTGTCTGATTCTTCTTGTTGGACCAACAGCAGAGAGACAAAGAGGATAGTGACTGAGACACCAAGGCAAAGGAATAAAAAGAGAGTGCAAATGAAATAAAGGCATTTTAAGTAAGACAAAAATTGATTTTATTACTAGTGGTCTGCTATGGTTGAATGTGTGCCCCTCCAAAATTCATTTTGGAACTTAATTCAAAGTGCAGGAGCGTTAGGGCTGAGTAGGTAGGAGGGCTATGCCTTCATGAATGGTACTAGTGGCTGTATCAAAGTAGTTCCTTCTGCCCTGCTACTATAGAAGGGTGTAGAGAAGCCACCCTGTTTGAGGAGCAAGTACTATGCCTGACCCAGTGGCATTTTCATCTTAGAGTTCCCAGCCTCCAGAACTTAAGAAACAAATTTGGCTTGTTTATAAATTTCCCATCTATGGTGTTTTATATAGCTAATACCCAATCCTTTTCTAAATATTCTAAGGAATGGAATGGGTTTTAGGCAGGAAACCAAGATCCAGATGCAGAGTATCACCATGCACACCTGCAATACCAGAACTTGGGAGGCTGAAACAGGAGGATTGCTGTGAGTTAGAGGCCAGCCTGGGCTACATAGTCATCTCGAGGTCAGTCTGAACTACACAGCAAGACCCTATCTCTAAAAAAAAAAAAAAAAAAAAAAAAGAATGATCCCAAGAAAAACAATATGTGAGTAAATAAAAGTGAATGTTAGAGAGCTCGGAGTGAGTGGTGGCACACACCTGTAATCCCAGCACTTGGGAGGCTGAGGCACAAGGTTCGCCGTGAGTTGGAGGCCAGCCTGGCTCCATAGTGAGTTCAAGGCCAGCCTAAACTAGATAGCAAGACCCAAAAAACAAAGCAAAACAAAAAAACGAATGTTAGGGCTAACAGTGTAGTGTAGTTTAGGGGTGGATTTTTTTTTTTTTTTGGTACCGGGGAATGAAGTCAGGACCTTGCACTTGAGAGGCAGTTGGTGGAACCACTGAGCCAAATCCTTGGCCCTAGGGGTGGAATTCTTGCCTACCACACGTGAGGCCCCGGTTTCCATTCCTAGCACTGCAAAAAAACCCAAAAAACAAAAAAACCTCAAAAATCAGAACAAACAAAAACATAGAATTGATTAATACATAAAAACAAAATATAAGTCAGAAAGGAGGGTTAATAGTGTTAAAGCATTTTTTGATAACTGGTATTAGAATTAACTATACATTTTAACATATACAATTTATGAGTTCTAAGGGACCACTATAAAAATTGAACTAGTAACTGGTGGGGTGCTGTATACCTGTAATCCTAGCACTCTAGGAAGCTGAGGCAGGAGGATTGTAAATTCAAGCCTGATTAAACAACTTAGTCTCAAAATAAAAAAGGGCTGGTGGATGTAGTTCAGGGTGAAGGTCCTAGGTTCCATGTCTAGTTATACACCGACAACAACAACAACAACAACACACAAAAAAGAATTGAAGTAGTGGTGGGCTAGCGATGTTGCCAGCGGTGCCAAAAGAAAGAAAAGAAAGAGAAGAAAGGAGGGAGGGAGAGAGGGAGGGAATTGACTTAATGATGTGTTGAAAACTCTTTGAAAGTGAGAAGGATGCTCACTTTTGCCACTTGTACTGAGGATTTGGTGGAGGTTTCAGCCAGCCCAATAAATCAGAAAAAGGGCAGAGGAATTTGAATGGAAGAAACAAGCTTATTCACTGATGATATTGTTGTGTAGAAAACCAAAATGATCTTTAGATAACTTACATCAATAATAATTTAGTAAATGTCTGGATACAAAATGACTTTATAAAGATAGATGTGTCATCAACAAATACATTGAAATTAAAACAGAGTATATACAGGGCTGGGGGTGGTAATCAGGAGGCTGAGGCAAGGGAATCGGGTGTTCAAGACCAACCTAGGCAACTTAGGAAGGTCTAGGCCAGACTAGATGATGTAGCAAGACCCTGACTCAAAATAAAAGAATAGTGTATACAGTAGAATTCCAAATGCAAAGCATCTCAGAATAAATAATAAGAATGTGCAAAATGTCTTGGAGAACACTGCTCAGTTGGAAAACTCAATTTGTAAGGATGCCAGTTCTCCTAAGTTGACGTAGAAATTCAGTGTAATTCCAATAAAAAAAATCTAAGAGGGCCAGGGATTTGGTTCAGTGGTTCTGCCACCTGCCTTGCAAGTGCAAGGGCCTGAGTTCAATCCCCAACACCGCCCCCCACCAAAAAAATCTTAAGAGGGTCAAGTGCAGTGGCTCATTCCTCTAATCCTAGGAGTCTGGGAGGGTGAGGTAAAAGGATTGTAAATTCAATCCTAGCCTAGGTAATTTATTGATTTTTATCCTTTTTTTTTTTTTTTTTTTTTTCTTTTTCTTTTTCTTGAGAGAGCCTCACTGAGTAGTCCAGGCTGCTCTTGAACTCACTATATAGCCCAGACTGGCCTCAAACTTGTGGCAGTCCTCCTGCCTCAGCCTTTCCTAGTGCTGGGGGTATTATCATGCACCATCACACCCAGCTAATTTAGCAAAATAAAAAAATAAAAAATAAAAGGAGCTAGAGATGTAGCTCAGTGTGAGGCCCTGGGTTCAGTTGCTAGGCTCAAATTTATGATCCTCCAGTCTCAGGCTCCCAGAGTGCTGAGATTATGAGTGTTGCCATGGTGTCCAGGCAGCATTCTGACTAAATTATTCTTTTATACTTATTTTAATTTATTTGTGGTTATTTCCTCTTTTCACTTCTGAATTGAAGTTTTTATTTAAGGGTTTTTAATTTTTTGATCTTTCCCTCTTTGGCCAGTGCCCAGGATAGAGTGTTGTGTTTGTTCTTTGGTTGCACAGTTACTCGTTGCCTCCAAGAGGCTCACAGTGCCTTTGTTCTCAGACCAATGCAATTCTTGGATTCTGCAGATCCAAGGTGCGTCTCTGTTTAGTGACTTCTTCTCTGGGGCCCAAGGAAGCAGTTTTTAGGTTCCATGGTGTCATTGCTCCCAGCATGTCCCCGTGTGATGCCACCAATAGAATGCCCTGCAGGAGGGGCTACGAAGAGATGCTTGGTCAGCTTGCTACTCTGGCAACATGAGCCTGACCTCAGTGAGCATGGTGCTCTTATCTCTGTCTCTTTATGCTGAGGCTCCTTTTTTTGGGGGGTACTGGGGATCGAACTCAGGTCCTTGTGCTTGCAAGGCAGGCAACAGAACCACTGAGTTAAATCCCTGGCCCTGGAGGCTCTTTTTCTAAGACAGGGTGTTGCTTGTTATGTATTACAGCCTGGCCTTGAATTCACTATGTATTCCAGGCTGACCTTGAGTTTGCAGCAGTTCTCTTGCCTCAGCCTTCCAAGGGCTGGGATTAGATCATAAACCTGCACCACCATGCTTGGCCAGTCTTTACTCTTTTAGAATAAAATATACTGGGAGATGTTCAAGGCCTTTTCTGTGGAGTTATGCTCAGTTAACTCTCACCATGGCTGTACAGTGGTGAGCCTTATCATTCCTATTTCACAGGTGAGCAAACAGGCAGAGAGAGATCACACTCTGGCCTCACATCACATAAAAAGCCAGAATTTTTATCACAGATGCTTAAAAGAGCTGTAGGCAATGATATCTGAGTGACTACTCTGAAATAGGTTCCTTTGACAGTGAAATTAGCTGCAGGTGAACCAGTGCTGTTTTAGTGAATCCTTAAAGAATGCCACTGATGCAATTGTTTTTGAGTATTGTCTTTCTTAAAATGCATGGGTAGCTGTTACGGTTTGGGTCTAGATATCCCCCCAAAGCCTCACGCAGTGGCTGAATCCAGAGTGCGTGATGCTGGGAGTAAGGGTATATGATTACTAAACCACTACACTGATTGGTTTGGCACTGCCAAAAACTCAGAAGCCTGCTTAAGATAAAAGGAGCAGAAAGACGCTGTTAAATTCACTTGTTGCTTTTACTGCTTCTGCTACCATGAACTGTTGCCCCTCTGCCACTCTGCTGTGGAGCCAGCTGATTATGGACTGAAACCTCTACATAAGCCAAATAAACCTTTCTCCTTTAACTTTGGGTGTCGGGTATTTTGTCTCAGCAACAAGAGGAAAGTAATTAACACACTAGCTGACAGAAGCATTGATAAAGACTAAAAAAAATTTTAACACAAAGCACAATGTCCTGATTTAAGCTAGTAAGGCAGATAGAAAATCTTGAGTAATTCAGTTTTATTTAAAGTATCAGTTGTAATTTAAGTAGAGGTCCTCTGATGCTGTTCTTTAAAATTGATGAGATGAGTAAAATAAATGTAAGGAAGGTATTTTACTTTTTTTGTTGTTGTTGTTCTTTGTTTTTTGAGATAAGTCTTGGTCATGTAGTTCAGGCTGTCCTTGAACTTACTATGTACACAGGCATGTGCCATCATGCCTGGCTTAGAGGCTACTGTTTCTTAAAATGACTGTTTTTAAGACAGGGTCTTGCTGTGTGGTTTAAGCTGAGATCACTATGTAACCCAGGCTGACCATGAACTCATGGCAATCCTCTTGCTTCAGCTTCTGGAGCGCTGGGATTACAAGAATGTACTACCACACTGGGTGTAATGTGACCATTTTTCAACATAAAATATTACCCTCAATCCTAAGAGTACAGGCTCCTTTTTTTCTTTCTTTCTTTTTTGGTACCAGAGATAGAACTTAGAACCTTGTGCTTGTGAAGCAGGCACAGCTCCACTGAGCTAAATCCCTGGCCCTGGGCTTCCTTTTTTGATATTAAAAAAGTCATTTTTTTTTAAATCAAGATAATTATAGATGGTAGTTTTTCTTCTTTTCCTCCTTTGTATCTTTTATTTCTTTCTTCCCTCCTTACTGTGTCTTTACTTAGCAAAGTTAAAAAGTTGATACCTCTCTATTAGTTTTTTTTAATTTTGTTTACACTACTGAGAATTGAATCCAGCGTCTTCATGCTGAGTTGAGCTACATTCCTAGCCCTTTTTTATTTTAAATTAGGGTCTCACTAAATAGCTAAATTGCCCTGGCTGATCTCAAACTTACTGTCTTCCTGCCTGTGCCTCCTAGAATGCTAGGATTACAGG